AGAAAACGGAAGCAGGAATCAAGGGACAACACTTTCCTTGATTTATGCTTTACCAACAACTAAAGATAAGTACAATCAGCTAACAACTAAAGCAAGGTAGAAATCCCTTGAATTAGGGAGAATGACAACTATGACAACCATACACAACAATGGCAGCCATACTTAGTTGTTAGACTGCAGTGCACCATACATACACCTATGTCTGCCGACTAGGGTTTGAGATTTAACTTAGACTAACCCTAGAACTTCTTCCAATACTCCCCCTCAAGCTGGATCAAAGGGATCAATTGATCCGAGCTTGGATAGGAGATGATGAAAAACGGTAAATGGCAGTCCTTTGGTGAAGAGATCTGTAATCTGATCATGATTGGGAACAAAGTGTGTAGCAATTACCTTGGACTGCACTTGATTCCGAACATAGTGGCAGTCAACTTCAATGTGTTTGGTTCGCTCATGGAAGATAGGATTGGATGCGATGTGCATTGCTACTTGATTGTCACAATGAAGTGTCATAGGTTGCGAATGAGGAAACCCTAGGTCCAAAAGTAGGGTTTTGAGCCAAGTAAGCTCACATGCCGTTGATGCCATAGCACGATATTCCACTTCTGCACTTGAGCGTGCAACCACACTTTGTTTTTTGCTTTTCCAGGTGACAAGGTTACCCCCTACGAATGTGCAAAAACCAGTGATAGACTTTCGATCGAGAGAGTTCCCTGCCCAATCTGCATCTGTGTATCCTGAGATCTGAGTATGACCATTATTGCGCATGAGGATCCCTCTACCAATGGAACCCTTCAGATAGCGAAGCACACGGTGAACGATCTTCATGTGATCTGTGTTTGGAGCATGCATGAACTGGCTAACAAGGCTCACAGCATATGCTATATTAGGACGAGTGATAGTTAGGTAAATGAGCTTGCCAACCAGTCGCTGATAGTATTCTTTGTTAGGAATGAGATCACCATGGAACTGCAGCTTCAAGTTGCTATTCAAGGGTGTTCGAGCAGGTTTACAATCTGTCATGTTTGCCTCATGAAGGAGATCAATGATGTACTTTCGCTGATTTAGAAAACAGCCCTTGTGAGAATGTGCCATCTCGATTCCTAAGAAGTATTTAAGAATGCCGAGATCTTTGATAGCAAATTTGTGACTGAGATATTGCTTAAGGTCACTAATCTCAGAAACATCATCACCTGTAACAATTAAGTCATCGACATAAATAAGTACAACAAGTTTACCAGATGTGCCCGATCGCACAAATAGAGAGGAATCTGCATTGCTTCGAGAGAAACCAACTCCCTCTAGGACATGACTGAGCTTGGCACACCATGCTCGGGAACTTTGCTTGAGTCCATAAATGGATTTATGAATTCTCCACACCAAGTCTGGATTGTGTGATTGAGGATGACCCGGGGGGATTTTCATGAAAACTTCTTCTTCTAGTTCCCCATGTAAAAAAGCATTTTTAACGTCCATTTGGAAGAGAGGCCATGCATTGTTAATGGCGACAGATAACAACACCCTCACTGTATTCATCTTTGCCACAGGTGCAAAGGTCTCTTTGTAATCTACTCCATAAGTCTGAGTAAATCCACGAGCAACCAATCGAGCTTTGTGTCTTTCAATCGTGCCATCTGAATAGAACTTGATTTTGTACACCCAACGACTTCCTACAGCCTTCTTTCCCTTGGGAAGCTTCATAATGGTCCAGGTGTTGTTCTCGTGAAGAGCTTGAAGCTCTTCTGCCATAGCAGCTCTCCATTCGCTGTGTAATTTTGCTTCTTGAAAGCTTTGAGGTTCATGTGTCTCAGTAACTGTATTAAGAAATGCAGCAAATGAAGGTGACACTTTGCTGTAATTAACAACAGAAGTCAAGGGGTGCCTAACATTATAAGTCACATAATCATTTAACTTGGATGGGAGTCTCCTCTCACGAGAAGGATTTCGACGAACTGTGGAAGGTTGAGCCACTGGTAGTTGAGCAATCTCTTGGTTGAAAGTACTCCTCGAGGGTTCAGATGAGATAAGTTCATCAGGTATCACTGGCTGAGAATGGACCTTATCCAGTGTTTGGTCCCTTAAGACATCTGTTGTGTCTTCTTCACATGGATATGGCATTGGAAACAAGTCAAGCAGTTTCTCCCCCTCTTGAGAGTAGTCCAAGGGTTGAGTGAAGTAAGGCATTGGTTCCTCAAATCTTACATCTCTTGGAACAACCATCTTCCTAGTTGTGGGATTGTAACATTTGTAACCCTTTTAAGTATAAGAATAGCCTAAAAACACACATTTTGCATCTCGTGGTTCTAGCTTGTCACGTTTCTGTGCTTGAATGTGAACAAAACATGTACATCCGAATACTCGTAAGTATGACAAATCTATCTGTCTGCCTTTCAGAATCTCATAAGGTGATTTAAAATTCAAAACCTTACTGGGCAATCTATTAATAAGATATGCAGCAGTAAGGACACCTTGAGACCAAAATCTTTTGGGTACGTTCGAGTGAAACATCAGTGCCCTAGTTTTTTCAAACAGGTCTCTATTTTTCCTTTCTGCTACCCCGTTTTGTTGGGGCGTTCCAACACAACTGGTTTGATGTAATATGCCATGTGTGCTTAGGTAATGAGACATATTATGGGACATATATTCGGAGCCATTATCTGATCGTAAGACATGAATATTTGAAGCAAATTGAGTGTTTACAAGTCTATGAAAATCTTGAAAAACTTCCAGCACTTCACTTTTAAATTTCAAAAGATATAACCAAGTTATCCTTGTGAAATCATCCACGAATGTTACAAAATATTTGTATCCATCAAATGACTCTAAAACTGGTCCCCAAACATCGGAATGCACGATTTCAAAAGGATTACTAGCCCTAGATAAGGAGGAAGTGAAAGGTAACCTAGTGAATTTAGAAAAATGACACACATCACAAGAACTTGTAACCTTGCACAGGTTTGGAAACAAAAAAGATAGGACTTTATCAGAAGGATGTGCAAGGCGTCGATGCCAAAGTTGTTGTTCTTGAATCAGGCTTGGGCTGACTTGAAAAGCCTTGGGAGTTTGAACATGCTTGGAGAGGTAGTAAAGACCGTTTAGAAAAAAACCTTCACCAATCGTTTTCTTGGTGATGATGTCCTGAAAAATCACAATTTTGGGAGAAAAGATGGCAGTGCAGTTTAGTGAGTTTGTGATTTTTCCAACAGATAAAAGCTGAAAAGGGAATGAAGGAACATAGAGTGCCTCAGACTCGACATTATTAGAGATCAGATGTATTTTTCCTTTCCCTACAACCATGGCACCCTTGCCATTAGCGACTGACACTTGAGAGGGACATGAAAGTTTTTTAAAATCATATAGATTTGTGGACTTGTTGGTCATATGATCAGTGGCTCCTGAATCTATAATCCAATAATCATGCATATTACCTATTTCAAGAGCAGTTAGGAAGGATCGCAAGATACCTGGAATATCTTGTTGTGTCATGCCTTCTTTCCCAGCCAAAAAACCAGCAAGCTGTCCAAGTAGAGCAGCTGGTTTGTTGTCACCCTGACTAGTTGATCCTTCATTCTCTCCACCACCTTGTTTCTTGTGAAGAAAGGCAGCAAATTCATTTATCAGCATGGCCGGATTGGATGTAAACATCTGTGCTTCCTCGGAATGAGAAGTCATGGTATGGTTTGCCTTGGGTGATGGGTTGTGTACTCCTCTAGTGAAGCTCTTGTTGCTGTCCCTCGAGTGCTTGGGCCTTAGTTCAGGATGGAGAATCCAGCAATGGTCTCGTGTATGTCCACCAGTATCGCAATAACTACATTTCACAGTAGGTTTCTTTCCTTTATATCTTCTCTCTTCACTAGCCCTGTGGTTTGAGAAATATACCCTAGATTCTGGTATATTTGACTTTAATTCCACAGTCATGATCTTTCTGCGAGTTTCTTCCCTTTGGATAGTGGCACACACACTTGAGAAGGAAGGAAGTTCAGGATTCATGAGAACATGACTCCTGAGATCTTCGTATTCAGAGCTCAAACTTGCTAGAAGCTGAAAGATTTTATCCTCTTCAACTCTCTTGATCAGCACAGCAGCGTCAATGGTGTGTGGCCGATAAACATTCAACTCGTTCCACATGGTGGTCAACTTGCCAAGATGATGCACAAATGAGTTCCCTTCCTGTTGTAGACTAGCAATATCCTTCTTCAGCTGGAACACTCGAGCTGCGTTATTCTGATTCCCATACATCTCTTTGAGGTTTTTCCAGAGAGTGTACGAAGATTCAGCATAACTGAAGATTTCTGCAATTTTTTGATCCATAGAATTGAGTAGCCATGACATGACCAGCTGGTCCTTGCACAGCCAATCATTGTAACCTGATGAGGAAACATTAGGCGCTGGGATCGCGCCATTAACATAACCCAGCTTCGATCGTCCTCCTAACGCAAGTGTGACAGCCCTCTCCCACGGGAGATAGTTGAACTCATTTAGTAGGACGGAACTAAGACGTTGATTTGGATTAATATCCACGTCTTGATGAGATGAGGAAGACGCAGCATGCGAGTTTACTTCTTCGCCTTGCACGAAGCTCCCTTCAGCCATGATAAAGAAGAAATAGGAAGACGGTATTCAGAAGCAGATCGATAGAGATCACTGCTCTGATACCATATTGAAGTTTGAATGTCTATATTTCATTATTATGAAACAAGTTACAAAGAAAGCTCATATATATGAGCGGAAGAAAAGGAGAAAACGGAAGCAGGAATCAAGGGACAACACTTTCCTTGATTTATGCTTTACCAACAACTAAAGATAAGTACAATCAGCTAACAACTAAAGCAAGGTAGAAATCCCTTGAATTAGGGAGAATGACAACTATGACAGCCATACACAACAATGGCAGCCATACTTAGTTGTAGACTGCAGTGCACCATACATACACCTATGTCTGCCGACTAGGGTTTGAGATTTAACTTAGACTAACCCTAGAACTTCTTCCAATAGAAACGTCATGTTTTGACTGGTAAATTGTACTGGTTAGTTCACTGTTTGACCAATAACACACCCCGATAACATGTCTCACGTTTTAGATTTTAGATACTGTTTATTGCTGAAACAACTTAACTGCTGAGGGTACTTATGTGGCGACCATGAAGCTTTGGCAACTTTTCTGTTTTCTGCTTGTCAATCCTCAATCTCTGGTTGTAGTCAATGGCTTTGCTTGCTACTAGTAGGAGTTTATCAGTTTCCATGATTTTAATATTTTTCAGCCAATACATGGTAATTTGAAAACTATAGGTGATGAAAGTACATCTTCAGAATGTGAAGAAAAGCAGGATCTTCCAAATTCTGGTCAGTTATTCTGTACAAAGAATAACTTAATGTGGCTAACTACGAATCATTTGTCCTTGTTAATGATGCTTTCTCTTGGTATGCTACCATCAGGTCACTTAAATGAGTCTGATCGTGTAAATAGCATAATTGAACAGCGTTTCCCTCATCCAGGAGAACCTGTTTGTGTCATGTGGGGTAAATATGGAGAATATATATGCGATGAGGTATGTTTTGATGTTATGTAAGCTGCATTATCAAAAATTTTACTTCCACTCACTTAAGTCTCCATTTCACCCCTCCATATCTCTAGACTCTGACTAGTGTTTGTTTGCTTTGATAGACCGATGATGACATATGCAGCATCGAGTGCAAAGCTGATCAATTGCATGCTTTTAATGTTGTTAAGGTATTTAGCGTTACAAGTGTTTTGTGGTATTTAATTAAATTATTGCTTCAATTTGTCTGAAGCACTCCCGCATATAATTTTCTTAGGTGTCGTTGAGCAATCAAAGGCCAGATGTCTCCTCTGGACCCATATGTACCTTGCTGATGCATGATTTTGGGGAGGACACTTGGGATTACAAACAACATCGCTGGTCCAAAAAGAGTTCCATTTTTTCTACTTATGAGTGGTATATATTTTGTCAAACATATTTTTCCGTCTAAGTTTCTCTAGTGTAAAAAGTGACTGTAAAGTTGAGGCCATGCACCAGAGAGAGACAACCACTGATATTTTTTTCTTTGCAATTCATTTCTCTTCATAAGTGCTCTTACTCCAATATAATACGATACATTCTGATCGTATTAGCTCTTTATTCATAAGTGATTATGAACTTGTTTGTGTAGTTGGAAATGTGGAAGGCCTGGACACCTTGCGGAAGATTGTTTTGGTAATGACAAGTAATGAGGTTCACTTCTATTATTTTTATTATATTTAATTTTAAAGACCCTCCTTATTGTTTCCTTAATTAGCCTTTGTAATGTAGGAAAAAGAAGGGGAACATAGATGGTATAACTCGTCATTTTTTTATTTTTTTTTCCAGGTGACATTGGGCCATAGCAAAGCCAATTCAATACCCCCAGACCTTGCATTGTACAAAAGGTTTGGAATTTCTTTTTAAATAATTGAATCGTCCATTCAAATTAGATATTAGGATTGGACAAATTATTCATTAACCCAAAAAAAAAAAAAATGCGAGATCTGACTGATAGAATAAACACAATCAGAAATCAAATAGACAAAAAATTACAAAAGACAAGAAAAAGGGATTTATAACTTCAGATAGAAATTTGAGTTTTAACAAAATATTTTTTTTTTTCTTTTGTGCTTTTGGCAATTTAACTCATCTTATATTGCCAAAAGATGTATGTGGGTTTTAAGGGTTCAGGGATTCCCTTTTCTCCAGATTACTGGATTGGGCCTTACCTCCATATGTTGTTGAGTCTATTGGAAGCCAGGCACTTTTGTTAGCAAACTCATTTTTCTGACGTTCACAACAATATGGGAACTTTTATTAGCAATATAGTGCTTAGCTTAAATTTAAAATGTTATCTGGTTGTATTGAATTTGTTCGACTAACCACTTTTCCATTTATAGTTCATTTAATCTTTTGAATTAGTGAGTTACTGTACTGTGTCTTTAAGATTTTTCTTGGTGTGCTATTGACTGGAAACCATTATATCTATCTGTTCTATATATCGCATGACATGAGAATGAAAGTGGACTCAGCATCCCTTTTGTGCCCTTTTTATGTTACCAGATGCCACCAGATGGGCAAAGACATCTCAGCTACAAAGTGCAACGAATGCTACCGCTCACTAAGTTTGGCCACATGCCTTCATTGTATCATTACCCTCTGTGACAAGTAAGCATTGTAATTCCACTTTTTCGAATGATATTGAGTTGACTCATAGAATGATATAAGGTCGTGTCATGGTTGAACAATTTCTACATTTCTTAACAGCTAGCATTTTCCTTTGTGAAATTTTGACTTCTTGCTTTTAAGTTAACCAGACTGTTACAGCTGCAAGTTTCTAATTAGTCACTAATAAATATTAGTACATTATTTTGATTAACCTATTTTCCTGGAAAATGGCTTTTGTGAATTGTGGTTGGAGATGGTATTTGAATTTTTTTTTTCTGTCGAAACTTGCAGGGCACAGTTAATAATTTCTCTACCTCTATTTGGTTTTAAAAATTAGCTTCTCTACCATTCATTGGTTTCTATTTTGTTATGTTTTCCAATACAAGTTTGATGAGGCTTAGCTGAAGTCAGAAGATGAGTTATCATGCTTGGAAAAAAGAACGTCTCATTATAGTTAAAAAAATAGTAAACTCTGCATCAATATTTTTGTTCATGGATGGCCTGCTGATTAATCTTGATATGTTATCAGTGAGCATATTAATTCTAGTTTAAATTCCATATGCCAGCTCCCAGATCATTGGGACTGATAGTCCGAATTTACGGTGCAAGTCATTTGAATGAGCATATACAGATACATTCATCCCATCGACAATATTATTCTCATAAACTCTCTCGTCTCGTGGGTACTTACTTTGCCTCACTGTTTTCCTTAGATTTTTAGAAATAAAGAGACGTTGTACCAGTATGGACCTGTGGTATAGTTCAGGTTGACAGGGTTCAAGTTTTTCTAACATCTCTTTGTTTCAGTTTACCTTAGTGCAGAAATGGACTCAGCTTCGGTTACTAGAGTCAGTAGATGCTAAATATTTAGAATCTAGCAATTCTAATAAAGCTTTTCCTTCAGCTATTTTTTAGGGTACTGCTATTCACACACCTCTTTGTACCTCCCACACACACCTTGTTAGTTTTTTTCATTTGATTCTCTTCAATTCATTCAATCCGACGGAAGAAAATTGAAAGAGGTGCGTGGAAGGTAAAAATAGGTGTGTGGATCGCACAACCCTTTTTTAACCGTCTGGTCTCTCATGGTTCATAGTTATCACAAACACTAATACAAGTGTAGGGCTCAAATGTGGAAATAACATCCTTCACTGCTCACAAAAGTAGCATTGGATATCATTTATTTACTTATTGAATTTTTCTTCCTTGTTGGGTGTGAAAAGATAGAGCCACAATGCAACTCAAGATTGAAATCATGATTCATGATATATTTATTACATGGAGACCATAAATCTTGGCACACGAAAGAACCCTTGGCTCCCATCATTTAGTGGGTATTTCCTAGGATGCTTAATACCTTTGATTTGATTTGTGGAGGTGAAATGCTGTAAATCGACATGCAAGGTGACTGATGTCAATGATCTTTTGACATGCCAGTACTGTTTCAATAAAGCTTTTGATAAATTCTATGGCATGTATACTGCAACTTGGTATGTAAATAGTATGAATAAAATTGTTACTTATTCTTCACTTGTATTTCGGATTAGTTCCATTTTGCTACCTGTAGTTTGGCCTGAACTCAGAATTATGGACGACTTCTGTTCCTTTTGCTTTGTTTGAACTTGTCAATTTTTAAGTGGTGGTTGTGGGGGTCAAATCTCATATGATCTTTGAGTTGACATCTTAACCCACTCATATCTAGTGAATCAGTTTCTATGTCAAGAAAATTAAGAGATGACACAAAACGATCCTGGAAGATTGTGATGCGTATATTTCATTTCTTTTGTATTGTTCTTTAATAAAATTATCGACCAGTGTCTAATAGAATACATGTGCACGTGTATTGCAGGAAAGGCACTGGGCTTTCGATCATGATGATAATAGCACACAAACTTAAACCCTCTTTTAGACAATTATAGTATGCGTAAGTAGGGATCGTTCTAGGCCGGGGATTAGGAGGGATGCTAATCTACACTAATTAGACTCAAAAACATAAAACTAAGCTGAACTGACTCAAAACAAACTAAATTGACTTAAATAACTCAAAACAAGCACTAAGGAGTGATTTGGACGAAAATCTAACTAAATTGACTCAAAACATGAAGGGGGGGGGTTTGTTTGGATGAAAATTGACTTAAAACTAATAAGTTGCAGAAATAAGCAAGGGTTGCACGAAATTAAGGTGACTTAAGGGGTGAAATGCTAGCTAGAGGGTCTTTCTCCACACATAACACATATGCATACAAATCGATTTCCAGTTATTATTCCTATAAACCATGAATGACAATGCCCCAAGTTAACCATGAACTGCACAAATTAACTATCAGATTTTCCTAAATTCATTGAATTGGATTTAGCGACGCAATCAAATTATTCTTATCAAGTTCCCTATATGAACTGCATGATAGAGATACATATCAAAGATCATTAAGTTCTATGAAAATCATAAACATTGACATGGCATTCATAACTATGAACTGTATGATACTCCTGTTAGGAATTTACTTAACGCGATCGTGACTAGCAACCTCTACTACTTGTAAATATAAGTTCATAACTATTAGGTGAAATTCCTTTATATTTTAGCATCAAATTCATGCATGCAAACTAAGTGTGCACCCTTAATCAACATACAAGAATAAGTTATCAATCAAACAGTTAAGTAAATTGCATTCACGATTTATGAAACAGTAACTAGATGTAATCAATTCATTTCACATATATGTTCATGGCTTTGAATTCATCTTTAGCTAAAACGAAATTAGTTCCTCATGTTCATCATAACTTAAAACCAAATTAAAACAAACATTGGACTAAAACTAAGGATAGAATACACCTAGATACGCTCCAACAATTCCAAAGGCTTTGGATGGCAGGCACGGCTCCAAGCTCTCCTTCCTTACAAAGTTGCGACACAAAGTGTTATTAATTTCTCTCTAAGGCCCCCTTCTTCAATTATGCGGCAGATGTGGGTATTTATAGGGCTAGGGGGGCACGACAAGGTTGTGTTGGAGAAGGATTACATACTCCAATCCCACAAGGAAAAAGTTAATTACATGGCAGAAACCAGGGAGAATAAGGAGAGGATGGTGCGGCATAGATTTAGGCTTCTAGAACCAAATATTTAGGTGATTTAATGTGAAATTGATTCCCCCTTGCAGCTGGAATTAAGGTAGGATAAGATTAGGATAGGATAAGATAAGATAAGGTTGGATAAGGTTTGGATAAGATAAGGTAGTTTGGATAATGTTTCCTTCTTTTTAGCTGATTCCTTATCTTCCAAGTCTTGAATTAATTTCTCTAGATGTTAAGCACATTCCTAACCTCTTTTGATCTTCAAAAACGTCCATCCGCCTTGCTCCATGCATGCGCTATCCATTCCAAGCCCAAAACTAGACCTGGCATTCGTGTCATACCCGATAGCTTAACGGGTCGTGTCGTGTAATACCCGTTAAAGTAAACGGGTAATATGACCCGACCCGAAATCAACACGTTAATATTATCAGGTAATATGACCCGACCCGTTACCCTTAAGAAAAATATATTTTAAATCAATAAAATTGAGAATGAAAAACATAATTTGACCCAAAAAAAATGTAAAACATAATACTAAATTAGTATATATATACTCAATTTCATAGTTGACCCCTTCATGAAAGTTGTAAAACTTTTCATTACAAGTGATTACATTGTAAAACTTTTCATTACAAGTGATTACATTTTTCACACTTCTACAATAATTATTATTAATTTTATTAATTTTGCACTCAAATAAAAAACATTGTTCATGTCACATCCTGGCCTGGGCCCCCACCACATCCCATGCTCTACTCCATCGT